CTCAGTGTTGACCACTTGCCCCTGTCGTGTTCTCAATTCTACTCTTTCTTCTATATTCTCTACATGTTGGTTCCGTAAACGTACGGACTGACGCACGGACACTTGTCGTCTATTCTGTGCATTCTCTACCTGCTCGCCAGCGACGGCTGCCTGCTCTTCCTGACCTACACCGGAAACCTGCCAAGCAGTCTCTTGATTTAGTCCTTCCGTCTCTAGCTCTTGGTTTCTAACTGGTTCAACGAACTCAGGGGGTGCAGCTATTACAAGTTCCCTATTTTCAATCAACTCGATATTTTCTAAATTTCCTAAATTTCTATCTCTATTTGATCTGTTTCTCAATTTGCGTCTCTGAGACTGCTGAGAAGCAGATAGCCTACGAGGCATGACAAAATGTATGTAAAATATAATTAAACAAGAAAAATAAGAAAAACTATATAGTAAGAATATAATATATACATATAATAGTAATAATAATATAACTAATAATGAAATACAATATAATATATATTTATATATGTATATATATTATAAAACTATAATTATATATATAATATATAATATATATAAAATATATATATAATATATAATATACATATATATAATATATAATTAATGTAAATTAACTTTTAACTTCCCAAAGCGTCAGCAATCGGTGGCAGCGACGTCCCCTGGCGAGCGCAGCAGCGACGTCCGTCCTCAGCCGCTATGCAGGCAGCGACGTCCGGCCTCAGCCTCCAGTGACGCCAGCAGAGGCACCGAAAAGCGCGCGAAGCAACGACGAAAGTTAGCAACTGTTATTAGTTTCTAACTAACGATCGGCGCAGAAAAACTAAGGCCCTATACCTTAATAAGCAAGCACTACTTTTATTTAATAAGTTAAAAGCTAAACTAGTTTGAATGGGTTTAATTCGAAATCAGTAATCGGAAAAAAGTCTCTATCGCTCTGCCTGGCTCGATATCAACTGGTCCCACCAAAACACAGCCTATTGAGATTTCGCGGTCTTTTTACGAGTGAGTCACTCAAAAAAGAGAGAACGCAGTCAAAGCATGCGGAAAGACTCTTACATGGTGAATGCACGAATAAGGTGGCGTATGATAATCGCCGAAAGACAGCAAGTGTGGTGATGACGTCATCTTGTTAATAAAGACACTTGCATCCATATGTAAATGTGTAAGGATGTGAACAGACAGTTGGGAGAACTCTTTTCTGAGTGGGGCAGAGAAGCTTGCGGAACAAACGGACAATTGAATTCATGTTTTCCAAATAGACATAGAAAGTGAATTCACCAATGAGGTGCCGTATGATAATCGCTGAAAGAGAGCAGCTGTGGTGATGACGTCACATTGTTTGACATTTTCAGCTTTTGTATGTATGGATATTTGCTCTATTGAGAGAACACTTGTCTGTGTGGGACAGAGAACTGAGAGAATAACTCAAATAACGCAAAAAAATGGAGCGGCTTTTTTCTCATTTCTTCCATACGCATATTTGGAGTAAAAACATTTTCGTGTCCCCCTCCCTTACTGTAACGGTTAACAAATTGTTTACCAATTGCCTGGGCCTGGGTGATGCTCTCTCCCTCTTTTTGATTTGCGGAAAGAGTGAGAGAGCCCCTGGTGTTTAGATTTCGCGGTTTTTTTTACAGACAATTCTCATTCTTTCTATAGGCATTTACATATATGAGTTTCACACTTGCATTCGCTGGTCCCCCTTCCACTCCCTAACCATAACGGCTCATTCAAACAGCTGCATATACACATACTATATAATGTTTATTTATTTATTTATTTATTTACATATTTATGTTCATTGCTCTTGCTCTTCCTCTTTGGACAAGTGATATTGCTGGGCATGCTGTGTGTCTCTCTCTATTTAGTCTCTTTGTAGGCAAATGGACAGATTGATTTGTTAATGTGGGAGGGGGTGATTGAACTGAGACATGGACAAGCAGACACCGCGGTGCGCTTGTTTGAAGAGAGAGGGGCATCGGGTAAAGGGGTATTGGTCAGAACGTTGAGCGTAAAACAAAGAAGAAGACATCGCCTGCCAGCAGTTAGGGCTTGCATTGCCGGGGGTTGTTTTTATTTTTTTCAGGGCAGAGAGATAGAGAGAGAGGGAGATAGAGAGGGCGAACGCATAGCTGCGTAGCCACAGCCAATTGTTTTGCTCCTTTTGGCTATACAACTGATCCGATCTGATCCAGATTCAGCAATCTCATAGATATGGTCATTCTCTATGATTGTGCTTTTTTAGTTTTCTCGTATCTTCAAAATTGTGGATGCCACAGATTTTCGTCCTTTGTGGGGGCGGAAGGGGGTGGGACGAAATTTCGAGATATACGTTTTATAGTGAGATCTAACAGGAGTGTGGATACCAAATTTGGCTGCTCTAGCCTTAATAGTCTCAGAGATTTGTGGACGCCCCAGATTTTCGTCCTTTGCGGAGGCGGAAGGGGGTGTGGCGCAATTTTGACACGAAACTATCAAGGTCCTATCACAGGAGTGTGGATACCAAATTTGGTTGCTCTGGCTCTTATAGGTTCTGAGATCCTTGAACTCATATTTTGCAATTGGCAAAACCGACCATGAAACCTGTGTGTTAGAGAGAGACAGAGCGAGAAAGAGTGAAATTGTTTTCTTGATTCTGGCTGTAATAATTATACGATCTGGTTCAGATTTTGCACTCTAGAAGATATAGTCATCTTCTACGATTCTGCGTTTTTAGTTTTCTCGTATCTTTAAAATTGTGGATGCCACAGATTTTCGCTCTTTGTGGGGGCGGAAGTAGGCGGGGCAAAGTTTTGAAATATTTTTGGAGCAGTGACATATCACAGAAGTCTGGATCCAAAACATCGTTGCTCTAGCTCTTATAGTCTTTGAGCATTAGGCGCTGAAGGGGACGGACAGACGGACAGACGGACGGACGGACAGACAGACATGGCTCAATCGACTCTGCTATTGATGCTGATCAAGAATATATATACTTTATGGGGTCGGAAACGATTCCTTCTGGACGTTACACACATCCATTTTCACCACAAATCTAATATACCCCTATACTCTTCGAGTACCGGGTATAAAAATAACATTAACAAAAAGCGAAGAAAAATAGAATTTTTGCATCTCTCCCCGACGGGGAATTGAACGCCGGTCTCCAGCGTGACAGGCGTGGATACTGACCACTATACTATCGAGGATGTTGGAAGCATCTTGCCAAATGCTACACTTGAAAATGGTTAGAATATACTCTTAGTTCTCTTTATCGTGTGGTTCTAGGCAGAGTAGCGGGACCTTCGGTTTTGGTTTTGCGTTTAATTTCGTATTTAATATATTTAGACAGGGCTCGAATCACCCTCAAAAGGTGTTAATGCCGGAGGGGGAGGATTCTTGATGTGTTTACAAATTATTTTTGACGCGTTTTAAGTCGCTTCGGGACTGAGGACTGCCTGTATATGTGTGTATCTATGGGAGTGTGCAGGCATTTATGAGCGAGAGTGGGTAGATTTATGCGCAGCGCTGCGTGTAATTATAATTTATCGTTGTTGAAATTCCATAAAACTTTAACACCTCTCACCTTGGGACCGCGAAGTGCAGCAGAGAGGAGAACAGAGAAGAACAGAAACCGAAACGAACCCGGGAAGGAAACAAAATGAGCAAAGATGGTGGAAGAAGAGGGCCTGTTGCATGGTCAGTATCCCCGCCTGTCACGCGGGAGACCGGGGTTCAATTCCCCGTCGGGGAGAGATGTTAAACTTCTTTTTTTTCTTCTAATTTGTTAAATTGTTTGTTTTAGGCAAATTTTTCTTTTCGCTTGATTCTTACCTCACACAACATTTGTAATCTATGTCAAAATACAAATAAGACATTGGTATTAGTCTCACATAGTATCCCTATTGTAACAAGTCGAGCCATCTGTTAGAAAGTTAAGTATTCATTTGGAATAAGTATTCATTTGGAATTTGTTACTCCAACCAAAAATAAGTTTATTTTACCGATCGAAATTTCGCTGTTCGATTCGAAGATGTCCCACTTTTTTGATACCCCGATGTCTGTAGCAGTGCGCTTGCGTCCAATGAACAGCATGGAGTTGGAATGTAAAAGCAGCACTGCGGTGAAGCGAACACCGGACGGATTGCCCCATGTGTCGGTGGATTTCCATGAAAGCTTCGCTTTTAACTATGTTTTCGACCAAAGGGATACCCAGAAGGATCTTTTCGAGGCCTGTGTCCAGACGAGGTTGAAGAGACTTCTTCAGGGATTCGACGTGACCATCTTGGCCTACGGCCAAAAGGGTTGCGGCAAGACCTACACCATGGGCACGGACTTCAATGGTGTGATGGACGACAAAGTGGGCTTGATTCCGCGAGCCGTGCACTACCTCTTCCAGTACATTTCAACTCTGAAGAAGTCGTACACTTTCCGTGTGAGCTGTTCGTTCGTGAAGATCTACCAGGAGGAGCTATTTGACCTCCTCTTGCCAAGAAATAATTTGAGCAGCCGCCTTGCGGGGCCCGGTCTGACAGAACTGGAGGTCAGCTCCGCCCAGGAGGTAACCGATCATCTGATGCGGGGCTTTGCCAAACGGGCAGTGGGCGAGAAGCCTTCCGAATCCCATTCCATATTGACATTAACATTGGTGGCCAGGAAGTTGGGTGGAGGAGTCCCTACCTCTGAAACCACCACCAAGCTCAATTTTGTAGATCTGGCCGCTTCGGGATGCTGGATTTTTGGCAACGATGCTGACCGATCCAAAGGGGGTCTCGTGGCCCTTGGCAACGTGTTGAACACCTTGGCTTATGGGGAAATTGCGCCCGAATACATTCCCTACGGACAGTCGTTGCTGACGAGCCTGCTGCAGGACTCGTTGGGCGGCAGGTCCATTAGACTGCTTATTGCCTGCGTGAGTTCCTCCGACGCCAATGTATCGGATCTTTGCGGATCGGACTCTGCCAGTCATGAAAATGCCAGGGCTGCGATTGGATCAACAGCATGAGGATGAGGTCAGTAGGCTGAAGGATATCATTCAGCAGCTGAGCGGGGAGCTCTTGAGAGCAATACAGGCCGTGGCTAAGCCGGATGATCGTCAGAGGTTGGAGGATCGGGCCAAGAACCTCGAGAAAAAAAACCTAAAGCTGCATCAGGAGCTGGAACAAATCCTAATCGATACAGCCGATGCGGATGTGCGGGGCGGCATTCTCGCGAAGCACATCGTCCAATCAAAGACGCACGTTCGTCGGATAATGACAATGCTGGGATTACAGCGACAGCAGGAACCCGGTCCCCAATCGGTTCAGAGTGAGGGCAACCAGCTGTTGCAGACGCTTGTGGAACTCAATCGCATAGTATCGGACACCACTGGGCAGTTAAGGGCAAGGGACAATCTATATCTACAGACGCACAGCCAGCAGTCGTGGCAACAGTTCAACAACGGCGGTGGAGACTTCGGATTAGAAGCAAATGCTGCAGGACCAGAAGATCACGTTTCGACACAACAACAAGGAAATGACGAATACTACTATGACAGCGCCTGATGAAATTTAAGAACTATTTATCTTGGGTCAGGGCATATTTGATATGGTATCTAAATTAATGTTATAAATAATTACAGTTTAACGCTTATGCGTTTCTAGTTCTAGTTTCCAATATGTACTGAATGGTTTTGGCTCAATTGTACCTATCAAATTCAACGAAACCCAAACAAAACGAGGGGGAACGTTGTGAGTTGCTGCGGACACCGCAACTCTACGGTTATACCCGATACTAAGTCAGTATGGCTCTCCTCCGGCAGACGCCGCTAATATTTAACGACACGACAAAGAGTGCGTGCGAGAGAGACAGAAAATCAGTCTGAGCGTGAAGTCGGGCGCTGCGTAGCCAGTGCAAATTGGTTCGTTCCTTTTGGCTATAAAAATGATCTGATCTGATCCAGATTCAGCAATCTAATAGATATGGTCATTATCTATGATTCTGCGTTTTTAGTTTTCTCAAATCTACAATATTGTGGATGCAACAGATTTTCGTCCTTTGTGGGGGCGGATGGGGGTGGGGCGAAATTCTGAGATATACGTTTTATAGTGAAATCTTAAAGGAGTGTGTGTACCAAATTTGGTTACTCTAGCCTTAATAGTCTCTGAGATTTGTGGTTGCCTCAGATTTTCGTTCTTTGCGGGGGCGGAAGGGGGTGTGGCGAAATTTGGACATGAAACGGTCAAGGTCCGATATCACAGGAGTGTGGATACCAAATTTGGTTGCTCTGGCTCTTATCCTTGAACTCATATTTTGCAATTGGCAAAACCGACCATGAAACCTGTGTGTTAGAGTGAGACAGAGCGAGAAAGAGTGAAATTGTTTTCGTGATTCTGGCTGTAATAATTATACGATCTGGTTCAGATTTTGCACTCTGTCCGTCTGTCCGTCCCCTTCAGCGCCTAATGCTCAAAGACTATAAGAGCTAGAGCAACGATGTTTTGGATCCAGACTTCTGTGATATGTCACTACTCCAAAAATATTTCAAAACTTTGCCCCGCCCACTTCCGCCCCCACAAAGAGCGAAAATCTGTGGCATCCACAATTTTAAAGATACGAGAAAACTAAAAACGAAGAATCGTAGAAGATGACTATATCTTCTAGAGTGCAAAATCTGAACCAGATCGTATAATTATTACAGCCAGAATCAAGAAAACAATTTCACTCTTTCTCGCTCTGTCTCTCTCTAACACACAGGTTTCATGGTCGGTTTTGCCAATTGCAAAATATGAGTTCAAGGATCTCAGAACCTATAAGAGCCAGAGCAACCAAATTTGGTATCCACACTCCTGTGATATCGGACCTTGATAGTTTCGTGTCAAAATTGCGCCACACCCCCTTCCGCCTCCGCAAAGGACGAAAATCTGGGGCGTCCACAAATCTCTGAGACTATTAAGGCTAGAGC